ATAAAAACTAAAATACCAAAGAAGCTTTCCCAAATTAGCCATAATTCCTATAGTAATTAAAAATATAATATAAATATAATTAATTCAACCGATTCTTATATTTTGTGTGCATGATTATATTATTAAACTTATCTATTTTTAATTTTAGTCTAAAAATAATAATTTTTTAATAAATATATCATACAATATATTAAATCAAAGTGTGAATCAATTACTGGACTTCTATACACTCATGCGTATGACCCTTTGACTGAATTTGAGTTGTCAAGTTATTCTTAAAGCCCAACACTTTGGTGGGCTTGACTTCATTCAAACATGAATCTCCCTTTTACCAGCCAATTATTTAATAGTAGCCAGTAGATAGTGCTAAATGGAATTATGCACTTTTTGATAACTAAGCTTGCAATAATGAAAGAATGGCACAACTTATTTCAATGGTTACATATATACTCCAACATATATGCTTGCTGCTTTGATATTGTTCCTAGATGTCACTAACGTGCATAGAAAGGCATATATACTGTACATAATATAGATTTGTCTCAAAGCATACGTAATGCACATAAATATTTACAAGAAAATATTGATTAATTTACACAAGTACTACTTGCTTTTGCTGTTAGAAGTAATACAACAAATAAGAAAAGACCGTATTTTGGTTGAAGGAGGAAAGGAAAAGAATTATTATACTATATGTCTCAATTTTGAAGGGGGTTGAAACAAATTTGGTTAGGGTTCCAAATATATGCAGTAGTTTATTAGCAGCATAAACTAGTAAAACTTTCATTTTAATTGTTCCAATTCCATGTCTGGTCCGGAAAACCAGCCATCTTTAATTAATAATTTCCATGTCTGGTTAATGTTGAAATTAGCAGAGATTGAAGTAATGATTGAGAGAATCTAAAACTATATATCTAGTACTACATACTGCTTAATTTGCAATAGTAAGGATGGGGGCAGGGTTAATGTTACTAAAATATGTATATATATATATATATGTGTGTGTGATTCTCAACTTTTCAAATATATATATTTATATACATTTGGCCTTACAGATCAATCGGTTAATGATATGTGTCTTTAGTTCTATGAATTGAGTTCAATCTCTTTCCTCTACTTTAAAATTGTACTTGTTCAAAAGTATGTATATATATGTATATGATTCTCCCAAAATATCTTCCCCTTAATAAACAAAACCACATATTATTCCTTGTGATTTCTGGTTGTTTCCAAAAATGCAAATTAGGCCAAATTAAACCAAGGATTAATGTTACTAAAATATGTGTTTATATGATTCTCTCAAAATATACAAAAATATTATATATTCCTCGTGATTGCTGGTTGTATCCAAAAATGCAACTTAGGCCTAACTATTAAAAGTAATTAGTAGAAAAGGAAGAGATATTCATCGCACATAAATGTGGAAGCTACCTAGTTTGAATTAATTTAGAGGATTGGGATGGTCCGCCAATCAAAACTCAAAAGCAGCTACCTTCCGAAAAAGGCAGAACTTTGTACCACAAGTTAATTAGTGATTATGTGGCTACCGTTCACACATGGTAATCAACACTACAACAAATACTTGTTCAAGAAGACGACTAGTGAAAGGACAGCAAAAACAAAGCAACAAAAATTAAGAAGTTTCCGAGAAGGCCCTTCAAACCTACTGGTATTTTTTTAAGTGTAACAGGTTTTTTCATTTATCAGTGAAGGTTTAAATTTGTATAATTCTGTCAATCATCTGTTGATTCAAATGAAAAAAATTTGGTTTACCTTAAATAAAGTTTCGAATTCAAATCTTGTGAATGAAAAAATAAATACCGAGAGAATTTCTCTTTTATAGGGTTTGACGTGACTTAATTTTAAATTAATCGAAATTAAATATAATTACCAAATATCATGAGATTAATACAAAAAAAAAAACTTACATAATTCCATTATTATTATTATTTTTATTTTTACAGATTGAATTACATCGTGTCTTATGAAAAAACAAAAATAGATAATAAACCTAAAACAATTTCTTTCATTCATTAGTGAAAATTTGAACTTGTGTAACTTCATTCTCATTCATTCCATTTCCATCAAACTTTTATGTTCACATCATGAGGTAGGCTTACTACTTTGTTCTTTCGCCATTTTGAAAGACGGAAAAATGATAATACCTAAAACAATTTCTTTTTCATCAGGGAAGAAATGGTGACCTTAACTTTAATTATGGAAATATTCTCTTGTAATGTCGATCTATATAGAGGATGCCTACGCAATAAATTCAGGAGGTTTTCAGAGCAACCTTCACCATTGGTTTTCAAAGTGTATGGTGGACAGTCAGACACAACCACATGCCATGATTCCTTTGTTGTCATACCATTCCATCCAATTTCCAAATTTTGGGGTTCTGCCTGGAACATTGTGATTCAACCGGGCAATAATAATTCATGAAAGAAGCTGACATCGAGTTGACAGTACATAGTGTACAATTAACCCAGGTTCTTGGAAAGCAAAGAATCCCAAATTCCCAATTCGTGGTTTCTAAGAAACCACTACAAACAGTTGTACACTATGTACTGTCAACTTGATGTCTCTGCAAACAATCTCTTGTTCTTATGCAGTGAGCCTGTGCACGGTCGTTACAAATTAAAAATGGTCCATAGCTCTAAACTTTGTTAAGCCAAATAGGCCAGTGCGTTTTGCAGAAGTCTTCCATCTTTTTGGGTTTTCCTCTCTCAAAGAATTGAGTAATTTGATGCATCAAATTTTAGAAATTAGTTATTAGTCTAATATTTAAACCAATCAATTAATTTCTTTGTGTCCGTACCCAAAAAGAAAAAAAAAAACTTAATTCCTTTGTACAGGAAAGAGTTGGAAAATCCCCTGCCCAAGGATACCTGCTGTTCTGTCTTTTTCTTGGAGATATGCATGCAAATCCATTCATTAAAAAAAAATAAACTTAATTCCTTGTACAGGATAGAGTTGGAAAATCTCCTGCCCAAGGATACCTGCTGTTCTGTCTTTTTCTTGGAGATATGCATGCAAATCCATTCATTAAAAAAAAATAAACTTAATTCCTTGTACAGGAAAGAGTTGGAAAATCTCCTGCCCAAGGATACCTGCTGTTGTGTCTTTTTCTTGGAGATATGCATGCAAATCCATTCATAAACACAACAAAAGCAATCAAATTAAGGGATCTGGAACATAACTAAACAAATATATTGATTTGATATTCATTATTGTAATTAATACACACACACACTACAAACAACACATTACAGCTATATTACACAGTAAATTAACACAGCTAACTGGTGAGATACTAATGCTCAGGCAGTCTTTTCAACAGCCTGATAATTATTAAGAGCTAGCGAGTTGCATGGAATTGTGGAATTGTGCAATGAAGTCTGCAGCTCTCTTGTCAATTCCAGGCTCTGGCACCGGCCAGTAACGTTTCTCTTCGTCGACTCTCCGGCCGGCGGTCATCGTATCCTCGGCGGCCCACGTATCCTCTCTTCTAGCCCTGTTCCCTCGGAGCTTGAACAGGCTCGCCAGGGAGAAAAATGAATTCTTCTGCTTGTTGTTACCAGCAGCACCCATGGTCTTTTTGATGTTTATGCAGCTGAATTCTGTTGTGTGTTGGATTTGTAGTTCTAGTGTACATAGTTGGACATGTGGTCGAATTTATAGGGACAGTGTTGGGGGTATTAATGTATTATCGCGATGCCGAGAATTCAAAAAGTATTGGTTGGGACTAAAATCCCCATTTCTTCTCCATTCTTTTGTTTTCTTTAAAATTCAAATACTTTCAATTCAACATCAAATGTTTGGCTCACAATTTCTTCTCCATCTTTTTTGCTTTTTCGAAAAATTCTAATACATTTAATTCAACATCAAATATTTGTACCTTAATTTATACGATTTTCCTAATTTTTTTTTTTTGAAAATAACAAAAGTTATTCTCTTTTATATAACATATCATTAGATATACAAAAATAAAAATCAAATATTTGTTTCTAATTAGTCCATATGGACTCCCTAATTTTTCTTTTCTTCCTTTTTATTTTTCGGCCTTCATTTTTTTCCTCTTCCTTTATTTTGAAGGATTGGAGTGTATTTAACATATATAGTTACATTTATAATCTACTAATTAATTAACATTACAGGTTGGCTAAGGAACCTTTCACTTGCCTGCTTTTACTTTAGGACTTATTGAATGGATCATTTTATTGTTAAGAAGATAGTAACGTTGATTGGTCCTAATTAATTTGACCTCCAATTAAACCATGTTTTTAGGATACACACAAAGAATCATATAGAGTGTTAGGCTGCCTAAAGTTTATAGTATAATCATAAAAAAAAAAAAAAATGTATCATGGTATAGTAAAAGTAATTTAGCGTATCTTTTACGAAGTAATATTATAATTTTTCTTTGGAGATACTTAGCTAGTGATGATTATATTAATTATATATATGATCTTACTTAAAGTTAAAACACGTTTTGTTTGTGCATATGGTTTGGTTTAAATAGGATTTAGGAGGCAGCGAGCATGAAAGTTACTAAAACCCTGATGCACAATTTCAAAGTGAGATTTAATTTGCTTCAATAATTCCTCTTCATTGAATTGATTAAGGTATATGTTGATGTATACATTGTTTGCTTATAGGTTTAATTAATTTCAAGTTGGAATAAAGCAAAAGTTTTGTGCTGGATTCCTACTGAAGGCTGGCCTTCTATTTGTAGCGGTACGTGGTCCCATTGAGAAAAAGAATTTTCCCAACAGTATTGCATACGAGCTGTATGTACTATATCCATTGCATATATATATATGAAAAAGTATATATCAATTTCAATTATTAAAAATAATTAAAGTTTTAATCTTAAATTACATAGTTTTATTTAATTAAAAATCAATTCAAAAATTAAAAAATTATTTTATTAAATGTTGATATATTAAAATATACAATTAATGGGTTTTCAAATTTAGATATCACTATTTAATAAGATAAGATTTTAATTTTGAAATATAAATTAAAATTCTAATTTTTTTAAGAATTAGTACTGATACGCATTAATTTCTATATATATATATATATATATTTGATCATCATGTAGCCATTATATTATATGTGTATATAATGCATCTCTTTTGATTAAACCACTAAATGAGGTGTGGTTATGATCACTAATGATGTTATTAAGGTTATTAAAATAGTGTTAAAAAATATTTATTTTATTTTATTTGATTGATAAAAATAATTAATAATTAATATTTATTATTTAATAAATTAAAACTAATTTATAAATTAAAATTTTTAGGTATCATAACTATTTATTTTAAAAAAATACTATATTATCAATTAAATTATATAAAAATTTAGTAAATTTAACAATTTTATTACCAATCAATCTTGTGGTTCAAGTGATCACACTTCTCTTTAAAAAGTAAATTGATGGCATTTTTGGTGATGTGAAGTTTAAATTTCAAGTTTGATACTCCCCCATCTCTTAAAAAACATATATTAATATTATTAGTATAATTGCCACTTAAAAAAAAAAAAAAACAACAACAACAACAACATCACTCAACTAGTACTCTAAAGCATGGAAACTTTATTTGCTTTTTGCCTCTCTTTTTTTCTTGTTAGGATATTGTATTGTATATCAAAAAAGAAAATTGCAGTCTACCCTTAATAGCATTCTCTTATGTTTTCTAGCTAGTTGTATGCATGGTTGCATGCAAAGTGGTCAAGTAGTGGAATAGATGCGACTTGTATCCCACAATTTCAATATGAATGGTTTGTGTTGTGTTTTACTAGAGTACGTAATAACTGGACCTGATTTTGGAGAGCCCCCACCAACCAAAAATCTAACTATTGCCAATTTTGATATTTTGAACCTCTAAATGATAAATTATACAACAGCATACTTCTTATCCTCCATCTTAATATTTAAATTTAAAATTTTTAATATAATTAACGACTCAACTAACTCAGTGATAATTTTTTTTTATTGAAAATATGAGTTTAAATTATATGTTATGCGAGTAGACCTG